ATAATATTTAGATCCTATCAATATATATATATATATATATACACACACACACACACATACCACATACACACACATATATATGTATATGTTTAACATATACATCAAATTATATAGATTTATAGATATAGATCTCTATATCTCTATATCTATCTATCTATCTATCTATCTATCTATCTATCTATCTATCTATCTATCTATCTATCTATATCTGGAAGCCTTGGATTCTTTAGTGGTGGTCCCATAGAGTAATGAGTATAAAGTTAAGACAATGTTTGCAACTGGCTAAAAATTTCAGAAGAAGACTACAGGATTAGGTATTAGAAAAGGGCATGTTTCAGGTTCCTGGAATCAGTGGGAGCTCTTCTGTGGGGAGACACAGAATACCCTTTTCCCCTCTTTATGAAGCCTCTGCTCAGATCTGATAGTTTACCACAGAAAGATTTAAAATCCCCATAGATTCCTTCCTCAAGCTTTGAATACTTGCTTTGTGTTTTCCAGAGGCCAAGGAAAAGATCCTGACAAAAACATGCTATGCTTATTAACACTTACCTTCATCAAGCATGCCAAAGAATCGTGCGGTGGTGAGATCTTTAACATTAACTGCACATCACATTTCTTTTCTTCTTTCTTTTTTTAGATCAGAGACCAAGACTTGATCTCTGTACCTGATGCTTTCACTCATTGGCTGGCGCTCTACCAACCAAGACACACCTCCAACCCCTGCACATAACATTTCTAAAGGCTGGAAGTCTGGAAGGGGGGGCTAAGTATGTGAAAAAGGCTGTCTACCATATGTGTATTCAGAGAGTTTTTAATAAACGACTTCCTGAACTTTAGACAGTGTTATGCAATAAAAATATAATCCAAGCCAGGCGCCAGTGGCTCATGCCTGTAATCCTAGCCACTTATAAGACTCAGATCTGAGGAGTGAAGTTCAAAGCCAGCCCAGGGAAAAAAAAAAAACAAGGATGTGTTAAGAGAAAGTAAAGAGAATAATTAAGTTAATGCCAACACATAGACATGATAGCCAAAAGCAATACATAAGCCTTAATTAGAATCCAGTGTATTATGGAGATTAACTGAAAACTTGAATATGGATTAGCTATTTGATAATGGGTCTTAGTGTTAGTGTTCCTAGGCAGGGGAACAGTATTATACTTAGGTAGGAAAGAGTCCTTATTCTTAAAAAGAATCATGCTAGTGGTATCAGTGGCTCATGCCTATAATCCTAGCTACTCAGGATGCTGAGATCTGAGGATCATGGTTCAAAGAGCCCGTGAGACACTGAGACTTTTTTTTTGCCTGTACTGGGGTTTGAACCCTGGGTCTGAGCACTGGTCCTATGTTCCTGAAGGCTAGTACCAGTTGAGCTACAGTGCCATTTCCGGCTTTTTCTGTGATGAATTGGAGATGAAAGTCTCACAGACTTTCCTGTCTGGGTTGTCTTCAAACCATAATCATCAGATCTCAGTCTCCTGAATAGCTAGGATTACAGGTGTGAGCCACTGGCGCCAGGCCCCTGTGAGACTCTTCTTCTAACCACCAGAAAACTGAAAGTGCCATTTTGGCTCAAAGTGGTACAGTGCTAACTTTGAGTGAAAAAACTCAGGGACAGCGCTTTGAGTTCAAGCCCCACAACCAACCAGAAAAAAACAAACAAAAACAAACAAACAAAAAAAACCCTTACATAGAAAGGCTATGTAGCCTCTACCTATCTAGCAAATATGGCAAAATGTTAAATACTAATTAAACAACATAGTATGTTTTTGAGTGCTCCATTAATCTTGTGGCTTTTTTGTGTATTTAGAAAATCTCATAATAGAAAGTTTATTCATGTTAAGGCTAAAAATAAAAAGTAGACATCAACATTCCATTTTACTAAGTTCCAACAAAATTTAGAAATCTTATGCTCATATCTTCAATTAAACAGGAAAAAAACGAAACAAAAAATGGAAATGAGATGTGGCTCAAGTAGTAAAGCCTTAAGCAAAAAAGCTAAGCAAAAGTGTAAGGCCCTGAGTTCAAGTCCCATTACCAGTGCATGCACACAAACATATACAACGCCAAAATACTAAAGAAAAATCAATCCCGTCTACACGTTTCCACCATATAACTTTCTTACCGAAAAAAGAGAAGCAGAGAAGTGACATGTCTGCATTTCTAAGCCCCCTCTCTATGCCCTGAATGTATATGGATCCTAAAAAGGTCTGGTTTGAGACTTTCAGTACGCCCAGTATTAAAAAAAAAAAAAAAAAGATGGATTCTATTTTCAATTATTTATTGTGGTGTGTAAAATTCTCTAAATTCTTTTGCCAATCAAATCTTCTGTATTAGTTTGATTTCTAGTTTGATTTCTAGAGATGAGGTCTCCAATCTGCCTAATGGTGTTTCTCAACATTTTAGAAAATTACAAATTCTTTTGATGAACTTAAATGCCACACAGTAAAGCAAAAGTCACTACTTACTTCCTACTTAACTTAGTAGTGTAACTAAAGCAAAAGTGAGATTTATATTAGCAAAAAAAGTCTCTGTGTGTGTTTGTGTGTCTGTCTGTCTGTCCGTCCTAGGGATGAAACTCAGGGCCTGGGCACTGTGCCTGAGCTTTTTATGCTCAAGGATAGCACTCTGCCACTTGAGCCACAGTTCCACTTCCAGCTTTTTAGGTAGTTAATTTAAGAGTCTCACAGACTTTCTTGCCCGAGGTGGGCTTTCAAACACAATCTGCAGATTTCAGCCTCATGAGTAGTCAGGGTTATAGGCATAAGCCACTGCCCAGATGTGGCTGGGTTTTAAGTTTTCCTAAGGAATTAATTTTAGAAGGAAGCCTTAGTAAGTTTTTTCTGATAACTCCAAATACCTGGTCAATGTTAATAAGTATTCTATATATTGCAAATGACAAAGGAAGTCATCAACAGGTTTAACTTATGTCTTTTACAACTAGTATTAACTTTTAGCCTTCACCACCACTGCCTACCTTAAACTGATAGTTGTTAGAATGTTTTTAAAAAAAAAAAAAAAAAGCTCAGAAGCTCAGCATTCACAAGTCAATTACTGTTATCAGTTATCTGTCATACTGCCCTTCAATAGGGAAAATTTTATTTTCTATGTCACAAGTACTTTCATCTAAACTGCATTTAGTGGGCTTCTGTTTTAGTAGGAAATCATTTCTATTTCATATATGAGAACAAAACAGGATTCTCCAAGGAAAAGAACAATAGAAACAATTGTAAGAAAAAAAATCAAAATATTAAGAGACAAATGATTTACATAGTTGATGTGGGGCTGATTCTCACTGGACAAAAAAGAAGTTAGGTTATCTAGCTTCAACTAATTCTGTCATATCAATATAATCTCAGAATAAAGATAAAATTCCATAAGAATAAGATAATGACATTGGGGGGGGGGGAGGATAACCAGCTTCTAAATGACATTCTAAAATACAAACTCAAGCTGGCACTGATGGCTCATGCCTATAATCCTAGCTACTCAGGAGGCTGACCCAGGCAGAAAAGTCTGTGAGACTCTTATCTCCAATAAACCAACTCAGAAAAAGCCAAAAGTGGCACTGTGATTCAAGTGGTGGAGTGATAGCCTTGAGCAACAAAGAAGCTCAGGGACAGAACCCAGGCCCAGAGTTCAAGCTCCAGGACAAGCAAAAAAAAATACAAATTTGTTTATTTCTCAAATTGCATAAAGAACTCTCATTTACACATACATTTTTATCACCAGGCCTAGTAAGTGAAGCTGAAGAACTATTTTACATCAAGAGTACCAACCAAGCTTTGTGTGCTTTCTAGAAAGAAGAAAAGATGTAGGAGGTAAACAGAGCCCCAGAGGTAACCACATGATTAGAAACCAATTAAGTTAAGCAATTACTGAAATGGTTCTTTCCTCTGGGCAAAAATGGATTACAAGTGAAAAACTCAGATATGAAAAATGAAAATGCTTACATGCAAAAAGACCAAAGCTGCTTTGGGAAAACACCATTCTGGGTGGGGGGACTATTTCCCCGGTAAAGTGTTGTACAGGGATGTTTGGTGAATATAGAGGATTTATGGTTCATTTGTTTAGCAATGCTAAAATGTTGTTTTTAGATATGTAACATAACATATTTGAATGGTTAAATTTAGTTAGCCGTCACAGTAAAACAGAAAGAACAGAGCTAGTGAGAGTAGGGAAGAGAATAATTACTACGGCCTATTGTTTTTTTCATAAGTGACAAAGTAAGGAATTTAATAGGGAGACAAATGTCAGACCCAACCTAGACGTCTCAAAAACAATAGAAAGTAGCAAGAAGAGAGAAACATTTCTGGCTCCCCATGCAGGATATAGGAATTAAACACTCTTGAGGCCTATTCGTTTTCCAGAGCTATTTCATGTGTCATTACTACATTTCGGAAGAACAAGAAACTATGGTAATGTATATTATGCAGAACTATAAATCTCTACCATCCTGTTTCCAACATGTATTTCCTAAATTACCTTTTAAGAATTAGCCTGATCCAGTTTAGATTTCTTTATGAATATAAAGACAAGCAAACTTATAAACATTTTAAAATAATTTTAAAATACAACTACTCTACTATCCACTTACCTGGTTCATATTTTACCCACAGAACACATTTTTTTTTTTGGGGGGTCCGGTCGTGGAGCCTGAACTCTGGGCTTGGGCGCTGTCCCTCAGCTCTTCAGCTCAAGGCTAGCACTCTACCACTTGAGCCACAGCGTCACTTCCGGTTTTTTTCTTTTTGCTTATATGGTGCTGAGGAATCGAACCCAGGGCCTCAGGCATGCAAGGCAAGCGCTCTACCACTGAGCCACCTTCCCAGTCCCCACAGAACACATTTTTAAAACTTAAATGCACAAGTCACAATAAACTTAGGTTTCTTATATATATCAACTATTCGAATAAACCATTCTTTTTTGCGCCTTAATAAATCTGAAAATCTTAACTGTAACCACTCAATTAACTTGTCTTACTTGTTTAAAAATGCACTAACCTTCTCAAAAACACTGGATGGGGTCATCAAACAAAATCTGATGTTCTGAATGATGGTATCAGTATGTCTCCAGCGCCTTCTATCATGCCGCAGCCAAGACTGCACAGCTTCATACAGCTCGATCTCAGGAAACCTGCTCAGATGATCATTATCCAAATAAGACATGAGCTTTTCAAAGCTCAAATAGGACAAGAAGTCAGGCCTGGACATGAGTGGTACAAAGTTGTCCAGAAGAAAAGTATCCAGCTTCTCCCTGACTCCCTCTATGTTTACACCAAAATCATCTAAGAGCCTCATTATTTCTGCACAGTTTTCCAGGCAGATTTTTGCTAATAGGAAAGAGCAACAGAACTTCACCACTTCTATAAGTTGGACATACATAGCGGCCTGAAGAATCTCATGAACAGTATTCATACTGAGTTCTATAGTCCCATAGTACATAAATTGAAGGACATGGCTGAAACCAGTAGCTGTTAGACCTTTCAAATGAATTTTGTCCTGATCTCGTTCCCTCATGTCTGCAGTAAACATAATTCTGAAGTAATCACTCTGGGTGGCAAGGAGTGCTTTATGGGCCTGGAACTGGTGATCTTCAATAACCAGAGTAACATCAAGAAGCAGGCCCTCCTCATACAGTGCTCTGAACCCAGCAGAGACACTGGAGTCATGGATGGAGGAACAGAAACCTTCCACGTCCCCTGCCATGAATCACCTGGAAAGAAAGTAATGAAAAAATGGCGTTAATCATTTCCATGTATGCAAAAGACAGTGTTAAGGGCTTTAATATTTTTCATAATCATCACTGCCTACATCCTAAGTGTCCAACCATCTGAGAGAAGGCAATTTACAAGTTTTCAGAGGATAACAGTATTTGTTTCCTACCTTGGAGAAAGAATCTATTAAAAATATATTTGTCAAACAATGGTAAAATGCTAGCTTACAAATAACAGCAGCATATCCCACTGATTTTACACTCTACATAAAAGATTTAAATAAGTTCCAAAATTAGCAAGAGAAAAAGACTTTTACACAAAGGGTGAACAAATGCAGCAGTGGTACGCATTAGACACTATGTTGAAAATGAAATACACAACTTGTGGGTGGGACGGGAAGGAAAAACTGGGAGAGAGCAAGGGGAGGGGTGACATTACCCAAAAAGAAATGTACTCATTACCTGACTTAGGTAACTTACAAAACTGTAAACTCTCTGTATATCACTTTCATAATAATAATAAAAAAGAATTGTACAACCAAATACTGAATTAGGGAAAAAAGACAAAAGAAATTACATCAAAAGGTACATTTGAAAACTTCCACAAGCCGGGCGCTGGTGGCTCACGCCTGTAATCCTAGCTACTCAGGAGGCTGAGATCTGAGGATCTCAGTTCAAAGCCATCCCGGGCAGAAAAGACCGTGAGACTCCTATCTCCAATCATCCACCAGAAAACCGGAAGTGGTGCTGTAGCTCAAGTGGTAGAGCGCTCGCCTTGAGCTGAAGAGCTGAGGGACAGCACTCAGGCCCAGAGTTCAAGCCCCACGGCCGACATAAAAAAAAAAAAAAAAAAAGAAAACTTCCACAAATTTCCCTGAAGGAAATAGGTACTTAAAGCAAATTGTACATAAAAAAATTTTTTCTACCATTACTTAAGTCTAGGCACAGTAGTGAGCTCTAGTACTTTCAAGTACTCAGGAGGCAGAGACAGGAAGGCCGTTTGAGCCCAAGAGTTTGGAGCCAGAATGCTTAACATAGTGAGACTTTCATCATAGCCAAGGTATATAATCAGCCTAGATGTCCCTTGATAAGTGAATGGATCAAGAAAATGTGGCATATATACACAGTGGAATTTTACTCATCCATTCAAAAGAATGATATTGTACCATTTGTAAAGAAGTGGAAAAAATCTGGGGAAAAAAATTGTTAAGTCAGGCCCAGAGAGAAAATGGATTAATGTTTTTCCTTATATGTGAAAGCTAGATTTAGCTTATAAACTTGTAAGTAAACATGCTGGGTGGTATGAAGTGTATACAAATGAATCTATTCAAGGGAGAATTCAGTGTAATTTCTTAGAAAAGCAAAGTTCAACAAAATAACCAGGAAAGGGTACTTAAAAGGATTGGGGTGGGGTCAAAGGATGACAAATGAAAGAGAGGGAGAACACAGTCAAGAATTCAATGCAGGGGAATGGGAAGGTGGCTTAGTGGTAGAGTGACTGCCTAGCATGCATGAAACCCTGGATTCTATTCCTCAGTACCACATACACAGAAAAAGTCAGAAATGGTACTGTGACTCAAGTGGTGGAGTGCTAGCCTTGGGCAAAGGAAGCTCAGGGAGAGTGCCCAGACCCTGACCTCAAGCTCCAGGACTGGCAAAAAAAAAAAAGAATTTAATGCAGGCCTGGCGTGGGTGGCTCATGACTATAATCCTAAACTACTCAGGAGGCTAAGATCTGAGAATGGAAATTCAAAGCCAGCTGACAAAAAAGCCCAAGAACCAGCCAAAAAAATTAGAATACACACACACACACACACACACACACACACACACACACACACACACACACACACACACACACACACACACACACACACACACACACACACACACACACACACACACACACACACACACACACACACACACACACACACACACACACACACACACACACCTAAGAATGAGGAAAGGCATAAGGGAGGGATGGTTGAGAATGTTGAGATCTGAGAATGGAAATTCAAAGCCAGCTGACAAAAAAGCCCAAGAACCAGCCAAAAAAATTAGAATACACACACACACACACACACACACACACACACACACACACACACACACACACCTAAGAATGAGGAAAGGCATAAGGGAGGGATGGTTGAGAATGTTGAAAAGATGCACTGTCTTCATAAACTGCTTTGTTAAATGGCAACTCCTTTGTACAACTACTTAAATTTGAGAGAGAGAGAGAGCACAAGAGAACGAGCAAGCGCAAGCATGAGAGCAAGCGCTGGACACTGGTGGCTCTTGCCTATAATCCTAGCTAATCAGGAGGCTGAGATCTGAGGATCAAAGGAAGGTCTATAACACATTATCTCCAATAAATTACTAAAAAACTGTGGCTCATGAGTGGATCCAAAAAATGTGGTACTTATACCCAATAAAATTTTACACAGCCATTAGAAAGAATAATATTACATCATTTGTAGGTAAATGGCTAGACTTAGAACAAATCATGTTGAGTGAGGTAAGCCAATCTCAGAGCACATTTTCTCTCATTTGCAGAAACTAGATCTAATAAATTATATAGGACTCTAGACATTCACACACAGTGAATCAAAGGAAGATACTCTTAGAAGAACACAAAGGCACAATCCCTATGTGCATCTGATCATATAAAATAGTATTTTTCACCAGGCACTGGTGGCTCACACCTATAATCCTAGCTACTCAGGTGACTAAGATCTGAGGGTCGTGGTTCAAAGCCAGCACGGCATTAAAGTTTATGAGACTCTTTTTTTTTTTTTTTTTTTTTTTGGTCGGCCGTGGGGCTTGAGCTCTTCAGCTCAAGGCGAGCGCTCTACCACTTGAGCTACAGCGCCACTTCCGGTTTTCTGGTGGTTTATTGGAGATAGGAGTCTCACGGTCTCTCCTGCCCGGCTGGCTTTGAACCGCGATCCTCAGATCTCAGCCTCCTGAGTAGCTAGGATTACAGGCGTGAGCCACCAGCGCCGGCTAAAGTTTATGAGACTCTTATCTCCAATAAACTACTCAAAGAAAGCAGAAGTAGCACTGTGGCCCAAATGGTAGAGCACAAATAGCTCAATGACAGAGCCCAGGCCCTGAGTTCAAACCCCAGGACTGGAAACAAATAAATAGTTTTCAAAATCAATTCCAAGAAAGGGAAACAAGAGGATTTCTCCTCATTGCTGTTTTTCTTTTGTCTTGTTCATCTACCTATCTTTGGGAGGGTAAAGGGGGGACACAGAAATGGAGGGACAAAGGATGAACAAGTGCAGCAGCGGCACTCACTAGACACTATGTTGAAAATGAACTTTACATGCTGGGAATGTGGCTTAGTGGTAGAGTAATTGCCTAGCATGCATGAAGCCCTGAGTTTGATTCCCCGGTTCCATATAAACAGAATAAAGCTGGAAGTGGTGCTGTGGCTCAAGTGGTAGAGTGCTAGCCTTGAGCAAAAGAAGTTCAGGGACAGTGCCCAGACCTTGAGTTCAAGCCCCAGGACTGGCAAAAAATGAACTATACAACTTGTGGGTGTGGATGGAAGGGAAAAACTGAGACCAAAAGAAAGGGTGACATTGTCCAAAAAGAAACATACTTGTTACCTGATTTGTGTAACTCTAACACCTCTGTACATCACCTTCATATTAAGAAAAAAAATTATGCCAGGGGCTTGTGGCTCACACCTGTAATCCTAGCTATTCTAGAGGCTGAGGGCTGAGGATTGTGGTTCAAAGCCAGCTTGGACATGAAAGTCCAGAAGACTCTTATCTCCAATAAACCACTCAGAAAACCGGAAGTAGCACTGTGGTTCAAGTGGTAGAGCAGTAGCCTTGAGCTGTAGAGCTCAGGGACAGCGCCCAGGCCCAGAGTTCAAGCCCCATGACTGACAAGAAAAGAAAAAAGAAAAAAATTAAGCTTCGGCTCAGCCAGGTGCTAGTGGTTCATGCCTGTAATCCTAGCTACTCGAGAAGCTGAGATCTGAGGATTGTGGTTCATAGCCAGCCCAGTTCATGAGACTCTTATCTCCAACTAATCACCAAAAAAGCCAAAATTGGCATTGTGGCTCAAGTAGTAGACTGCTATCCTTGAGCACAAAAGCTCAAGGACAGCACCCAGGCCTTGAGTTCAAGCCCCAAAACCAGAACAAATAAAAAAAGAAATCAAAATATTCACAAGTCTAATAATAGATTATTAAATATGATTCAGTCTTATAATTAATTGCTATGACTATTAAGAATGGTAAGCCCGGGCTGGGAAGGTAGCTCAGTGGTAGAGCGCTTGCCTTGCATGCATGAGGCCCTGGGTTCGATCCTCAGCACCACATAAGCAGGAAAAAAAAAGCCGAAAGTGGTGCGGTGGCTCAAGTGGTAGAGCGCTAGCCTTGAGCTGAAGAGCTGAGGGACAGCGCCCAGGCCTGGAGTTCAGGCCCACAACTGGACCCAAAAAAAAAAATAAAAAGAATGGTAAACCCACTGCTGGTGGCTTACACTTGTAATCCCAGCCTACTCAGGACTCTGAAATCTGGAAGATGACAATCTGAAGCCAGTCTGTACAGAAAAGTCCAAGAGACTCCAACTCTAAAATAAATAAGCTAGGCTGTTCTGGTGTTGGTGGCTCACACCTGCAATCCTAGCTACTCAGGAGGCTGAGATGTGAGGATTAAGTTTGACACCCATCTAGACAGATAAATCAGAGCCACTTTTCTCCAGCAAAAGGCTGAAAGTAGGGTTGTGCCTCAAGTGGTAGAGGGCCAACCTTGAATGAAAAAAAAAGACAAGCAAGAGTACAATGCCATGGGTTCTAGTCCCAAGCGAAGAGGAAGGGAAAGGGAAAGGGAGGGAATGGGAATGGGAGTGGGAAGGGGTACAGGGAAAGAAAGGAAAAGGTAATGGGAAAGGGGGAAGGGAAAGGAAACGGGAAGAGAAACTGAAAAGGAAGGGAAAAGGAAGAAGAGGAAAGGAGAAAAGGGGAAGGGGAAA